CAAATTTTTATTTCTAGCCTCTTTTGATTTAGATACTTTTGAAACGACTTATTCTTCTTCGAACTCTGACGCCCACAGATGAAATAAAACAATATTCTCTAGATACACTATAATATCTGAATTTGTGCTATTCAAAAGCAACAAAATAAATTTATCCAATATTGTTTTAGAATATTGATTTTAAATTTATAATCTTCTAATATTTTTTTTGAAGAATATTGATATATGAAAATTATACTTCTTCAAAAATAATAATAATATAACACTCCCATAAATATTTATCAATAAAATTATCCTCTAAAGCAACGATGCAATATTCTTCTAAAATAATAATTGCTATAAACTTGTGAATTTAAAAAATAACAAAATAATATTCTTCAAGATTTAAAGAATTTTTTTATCAATAAAATTGTGTATATTTTATTGAGAATCAAAGACTTATATTATAGGCAAGAATTAGAGCATCTCTAAGAGGCTCTCTGTTTTTAAAGTGCATATTCTATCATTTGGAGAGCATCTATGAATTTAAAGAGTTAAAATTTTGAAGTGCTCCAACATTCTATTTATATTTAATATTTGATTTTACTATTCCCCAAAAATATTTATTATTTTTCTTTATCTTTTATTTTAACTATCTTTTCTTTAGATTATTTTATTGTTTTCATATATTGAAAATTGAAATACTTTGAATACATTTAATTATAGAGAGTGAGTTTGACTCTCCAAATTTGGAGAGCCAAACCCTCTCTCTAAATTAAAATGTTAATTTAACGAGTCTCTTGGAACATGACTTTAAATGTTGACTCTTTAAAATAGAGAGCATCTCATATTTAAAAAGTCTCTTGGAGATGCTATTACTCAATCCCGAGAAAGTCATCGGCTCATCGGGTTAGTGGTTCAACCGACAGATCGGTGGTTCAACTGATAAATCATTTTTACGCTTTAATATATTTTTGAAATAGTAAGAAAACTATTTTGCTAATCAAATATTTACATTTTGTTCATATTATATGTTAAAGGTTCACAAGTTTCTATAATGGTCAAGGAAGTGAAATTCCTTGGTAGAAGCAAGGTTCGTATCCATTGCCATGGCAAAATTTTACATTGCACTTTGGTAAGCATTCGGTTCAATCTGTACCGGTTTCCACTTAAAATCATAAATTCAATAATTATAAGTGGTGCCATTTTCGTCACATCGTTAAATATTTCTACACATTTAATTTCACAAATTAAAATAGTTCTAGTTAATGTTGAAATTTAGGATTGAAAGTGTTGGATTGTGAATAAAAAGTCTTATCCCTAAAGAAAATAGTCAAAGGGTATTTATGTAATTCACTCAAAGGCCACATTCGTCATTTAACTCTTCATTTTCCGAAACACTTCAAATCTGAATTATTAGCGCTTCCCTGTTCAATCATAGCCGTCTATTCCCACAATCGGACGCCAGTAATGGCCCACAATTAGCAGGAGGGTGACAATCGTGGTCGTTGATCCGTCCTCTCACTGATATAAAATCTGTCTCCCGGGGTTCAAATTTTCCACCACACTCACTCTCTCATCGATCGAGTAGATATTTCTCTATCGATCCGCTTCATAGATTCTTCATCTGTCCTCAAAATTTCAAGGTAATTTTTCAAATTGTTGTTCAGACCTTTATTTATTGGTTGTATAAAGTAGAATATTAAATGTTTTTAATTCCTCTAGAATTGGTAATTTTTGAATTTGTATTCAAAACCCTATTAGTTTTTGTATTTCATCATTTTTTTCCTCAAAATCCGATATACACATTATGTAGCTTGATTTTTAAATTCCTGAAATTATCGTGTAAATTGGTGTTTTTAATTTTTTTGACTTCCTCTTGAAATGAATGTGATTATCTTGGTGGAGCAGTTATTTTTAAAATGTTTAAGCTCTTGTATTTTTCTCTCTTGATACTTTAGATCTTTCTATTCTTTGGAGCATATTGTTTATTATGCTAATGTTTTTATAGATTTGTGAATATTCAAGTTAAATTAATTATTTGGTTAGTTATGGGTACCATATACAATTGAATGCTGTAAAATTAGTAGATCGTTAATTTTAATGTTTATTTGGGATATTTTTACAATGTTTTGGGCAACTTTTATCAATTCTAATTGTGTTCCCATTTAGTCAGATCAGTAAATGTGCTTTATATAGTTATATATTTCCAGTGAATTTTGGCAAATCTGGTGAAGATATGGATGTTAAACATTTCTTATTTTCTTTAGCTTACTGGAATCCAATTTCAGTTATGTATTAGCTTTCTTTGTATTTTTCAGATTCTTAAGAGCATGTTTGCCCATGATTAAAATCTAATTTTAATTGAAAATATGACCGTTATTGGGTCCCACTCGTCTAATAAAAGTCAACAATAACGGCTAGTTTTTCAATTTTAATCTAATTTTAATCTCTATCGAACACGCCCTAAATTCTGATCCTAATGCGTCACTTAACTTGGTTTTAAACAACGGTTATATCAGAAGAATCTGTCGCTTCATTGTAGCGTATAATGGATATTATAGACGTTTCAATATTTTCAGAGATTTGATGTCAATCTTGACTAGATTCTGGGAAAACATAGAAAATTGAATATTTTCATTTTGTGTGGATGCAATTTGAATGGTGCCTGACATTTTTTTGTACTTGTAGGGAAAAAATGAGAGAAATTCTTCACGTTCAGGGAGGCCAATGCGGTAACCAGATTGGATCAAAGTTCTGGGAGGTTGTGTGTGATGAGCACGGCATAGACCCAACTGGCCGCTATGTTGGAACTTCTGACTTGCAATTAGAGCGTGTCAATGTGTACTATAATGAGGCGTCCTGTGGGAGGTTTGTTCCACGTGCAGTGCTCATGGATCTGGAGCCTGGAACTATGGACAGTGTCCGCACTGGTCCATATGGCCAGATTTTCAGGCCTGATAATTTTGTCTTTGGTCAGTCTGGTGCTGGAAATAACTGGGCTAAAGGGCACTACACAGAGGGTGCTGAGCTTATTGACTCGGTTCTTGATGTTGTGAGAAAGGAGGCTGAGAATTGTGACTGTCTTCAAGGTAAATTGTGACATTTAAGTATGATTAAGTTGTTTATTTTAAAATTGTTGATTACAGAGCTCATGGGTTTCAGCGATATGGATCTCTTGCAACATTTACAATATTAATTTCCCTAGGGATTTCACTTCCTAGATGGACATCGCAAGTCTTAATTTTTTGGGATTTAAAAATTGAGTATGCCCTTGTCTGAAATTTGCTTTTGCTTTTCTAGGGTTTCAAGTGTGCCACTCGCTTGGTGGAGGAACAGGTTCTGGCATGGGTACCTTGTTGATCTCAAAGATTAGGGAAGAGTACCCGGATAGGATGATGCTGACATTCTCAGTGTTCCCTTCACCCAAGGTCTCAGATACCGTGGTTGAACCATACAATGCCACACTTTCAGTGCATCAGCTTGTTGAGAATGCAGATGAATGCATGGTGCTAGACAATGAAGCTTTATATGATATTTGTTTCAGGACCCTCAAACTTACCACTCCTAGCTGTGAGTATATTTTACTGAAATCCTTGGTGGTGCTATCTGAAGTTGCCTGAGATACCCTTTATAGTTCATCTAATTTGCTTTGATTTATTTTGAGTGGTTGGTTCCTTGTTTGTGCTCTTACGTGTCCTAGTGATAAACTTACTGTAAGCTCATATTTAAAGGCGAAGAATTGATATTTTTTTAGTTCTTTGTTAGTCTATTATCTTTGTTGTGCATGAGATATGGGTCTGAATTCACTCTGGAATTTTAATATCGTAACTTATTATATATTGTTACCGTTGACCCCCTGCATATTAATTTATAACTTAACAGGTGTGGTTGACAATGGTTGTTTGTGCCTGCTCTGTGTCATATAAATTTGGGACAGAAGTAAGAAAACCTTCCTTCCCTGGAATACGTTTCATACTGACTATTCTTGGGGTGTAACATGTGTCTATTAATCAAGAAAAGATGAAATAATATGTGCATCACATAACTCATTTTCCTGTCAGCTAATCTCCAATTTACACAACAAAAATACTATCAGTAACTCAGAATATGTTTTACTTATTTCCTTTCGAGTAACTTACTAATTCAGAAGTGTTGATAAAAGTACATGTACTTTGTACACACTCCTTAACTAGTATATCAATCATTCAATTGCTTATTATGGTTTTGTTTTGTTCCCCCAGTTGGTGATCTGAACCATTTAATTTCTGCAACCATGAGCGGGGTCACTTGCTGCCTTCGATTCCCTGGTCAACTTAACTCTGATCTACGAAAGCTTGCTGTCAACCTGATCCCATTCCCCCGTTTGCACTTTTTCATGGTTGGGTTTGCTCCACTGACATCTCGTGGTTCCCAACAATATCGTGCCCTTACAGTCCCTGAGCTGACCCAGCAAATGTGGGATGCCAAGAATATGATGTGTGCTGCTGACCCACGCCATGGACGTTACCTCACTGCCTCAGCCATGTTCAGAGGCAAAATGAGCACCAAGGAAGTGGATGAACAGATGATTAACGTTCAAAACAAGAACTCTTCATACTTTGTTGAGTGGATTCCAAACAACGTGAAATCAAGTGTCTGTGATATCCCACCAAGAGGGCTTTCAATGGCATCCACCTTTGTTGGGAACTCGACCTCCATTCAGGAAATGTTCAGGAGAGTGAGTGAGCAGTTTACTGCTATGTTCAGGAGGAAGGCTTTCTTGCATTGGTATACTGGTGAAGGTATGGACGAGATGGAGTTCACAGAAGCCGAAAGCAACATGAATGATCTCGTCTCAGAGTACCAGCAGTACCAGGATGCTACTGCAGATGAGGAAGGTGATTACGAGGAGGAAGGTGAATATGACGAACATGCGTGAAGTCACTATTGGTATTTATCCTTTTAGATTTTTTTGTGTTTCCTTCTTGTGGGTATATTTTGCTGTGGGGGAGAGGAACTGCGAGGATATATGTATGGTTGACGAGATGAGGAGTACCAGTGTGTTTTATATGATTTAATTTGGAGGATGATCATCTTATTTGCATAAATTTCTACTGATGGTATTGTAAGTTGAAAAAATTATGGACAATGAAGACCAACCATTACTTTACCGGTCATCTTATGCATAAATTAAGAATCTTAAAATAAAAAATTTTATCGGTCAACATTTGGAACAAGTTACTTGTATTGAAAACTAACCATTACTTTACTGGCAATGCAAGTAATTTTTATCAAATATAAATACATTAGGTTATGCAATCATATGAAAAAAATGAAAACATACTTAAAATATACTTCAGAACGTGCACACAGAGCCAAATATCAAGGGAAAGGGCAAGAGTTCACTGGAATTTGGGGAAGTTTGAGATGTCTGCAATAAATATTAAACAATTGCGCCACCTAAATTATAATTATGCACTGAAATTTTTTGATTCATGATCCTGTACCAAAGAAATTAAATTTCTGCAACGGACTCCGATTCTATGAACAATCGCCAATCTGTCTGCACTACTTCTCAACAAAACTTGCAATCACCGTTGGCAGTAAAACCGAGCAGCAATAATCCATCGTCCATTGAAAACTTGTTTGGCCCAGTCAAAAATATCAAAAAGCATCTTCATTGATGGTGTAAAATTGCTCTCTCCATAACCACTTTTGCATACTACATTTTATGTCGAAAATACAATTTTCATTTCTTTTCAATCTCTTCATTGGAGAGGTTTACGTTCACTTCCGAGATTTGAATCACAATTTAGATATATTTTAATTTTATACAACGATTGAAAATGCTTTAATAGAAACTAACTAGAGAGCATAAGCTTGCAAGTTTAACCTGTAATCAGATTAAACCCATTTTGATTCCATGTTGAAAATTATAAACGATATATAATGAACTTGTCTTATTATAATAAAGTAGAAGACTCTACTCATAAAGTTATAAATAATATTAAAATGAAAGATTGTATCCTAATCAAACAATAATTTCGCACAATTGAAAAAATATTACGAAAAAAAAAATGTCTAATATTTCATATTTGCGACTATTCCATAGTCAAAACAATTTTTTAAATAAATGTTTGCAAAACAGCCGTTTGACTTTGAAGTTGACTTACATTTCCGCATCTCTTTTTGAAAAGTTGGGTTTTAGTTAATATTTGCATGATTTTTGTCATCTAGAAATAATTGTGAATTACAGTGAAAAACAAAGGACTCCATATGCTAACAAGAAATAGGTTGAGGACTAATAGTGCAAATTTCCTTAATGTTTGTGGAATTTTGAAGCCCTGCCGGTTTAATTAACGGGAAAAATTCATAAATAAGGTGTTTAGTTTACATCAATTCAAAAATCATGTTTATAGTTTGAAAATTCAAAAATTAAACCCACCCCACATGCACCACCCCTATTGCTTCGGGGAGTATTCCGGCGACCATTTCGACCACCACTCTTCTCCGATGACCATTCTGGCGACCATTCTTCTCCAACGACCATTTCGACGACTGCTCCGACGACTATTCCTGCAATCATTCCGGTCACATATTTATAATTTAATTAGTCACATATTATTTTTCAGTCACAAATAGTAATTTTTATACGTCACAGATTATTTTATGGTCACAATTCAAAAATTTTATAGGTCACATTTAATTTGTTGGTCACAAATCAAAATTTATAGGTCACACGGTCACATATTTCCAAAGCAATTGGTCAGAGATTATATAATTTTTAGGTTACAGAAAAAAAAATGGTTAATTTCNCAAATTATAAATTTTATAAGTCGCAACTTACTTAAGAGTCACAAATTGTCAAATTAAATGGTCACAGATTATTTTTCAATCACATATTGTCAAATTTTTAGGTCACAGTTAAATACTTGGTCACAGATAACCAAATACTTGGTCACATACCACCAGCACTACTTCACTCACCATCACCACACAAAGCACCACCACCACCCACAGCCACCAAACAAAGCACTTCCACCAACCCAACATAGCCGTCTCCACCGTCGACCACGACCACCACCAGATCCGCCATAGCCACCAACACAACTACCTGGACAACCAATAAAAATCACCTAAAACCCCCTAACAACACCAAAACACCATCACAACAACACAACCGCACCCAACCACCACAACACCACCACCAACATTGCACACAACACCACCACCAACCGCATTAAAAAAAAAAGACGAAAAAGAAGAATAATGGATCGCATCGAATGTCGTCGCTGCTTAGGGAGTGCGCCGCTACTGTCAGTCGACGATCGCAAGTGTTGCAGGGAATTCCACCTCCATTATATTGGTCTCCACCCCAGTAGAGTCCCCCGAGGATGAGCCCTCATCTCCAGCCGCCCCCAGCAGCAAAGCCCATTTTCCTACTTCTCCACACCCAAATGTCCACAGTAGCGTCGCGACGCCGCTTCCTGCGTCGCGAAGCTGCTGTGGAAGCAGCAATGTCGAGGTGCTGCTGCGACTCGACACTGCTGTGATTCACAACAGCGCTTGACGCTGTGAACTGCAGCAGCGTCGCGATGCTGCTGCCGTTCATAGTAGCGTAGAGAGGAGAAGGAAGGGAGGGGGAAGGGGAAGAGGAAGAGGAAGGGGAAGGAGAAGGGAGGGAGTGGGAAGAGGAAGGAGAAGGGAGGGAGGCGGCGGACGGTGGTGCAGGTGAGAGAGTGGAGAGAAATGAATTATTTAGGGTTTGGATTAGATTTAGGAAATTTGGGGAGGGTTTGGATATATAATATTTAATACTTGATTTAATTATTAATTCAATACCTGATTTTTGATTAAATAAAATTCACACCTAAATTTTGAATTTGAAAAATTAATTGATCCTGTACCAAAGAAATTAAATTTCTACCACGGACTCCGATTCTATGAACAATCGCTAATCTGTCTACACTGCTTCTCAACAAAACTTGCAATCACCGTTGGCAGTAAAACCGAGCAGCAATAATCCATCGTCCATTGAAAACTTGTTTGGCCCAGTCAAAAATATCAAAAAGCATCTTCATTGATGGTGTAAAATTGCTATTTCCATAACCACTTTTGCATACTACATTTTATGTCAAAAATACAATCTTCATTTCTTTTCCATCTCTCTTCATTGGAGAGGTTTACGTTCACTTCGGAGATTTGAATCACAATTTAGATATATTTTATACAACGATTGAAAATGCTTTAATAGAAACTAACTAGAGAGCAGAAGCTTGCAAGTTTAACCTGTAATCAGATTAAACCCATTTTGATTCCATGTTGAAAATTATAAACGATATATAATGAACTTGTCTTATTATAATAAAGCAGAAGACTCTACTCATTATGTTATAAATAACATTAAAATGAAAGATTGTATCCTAATCAAACAATAATTTCGCACAATTGAAAAAAATATTATGAAAAAAAATGTCTAATATTTCATATTTGCGACTATTCGATAGTCAAAACAATTTTTTAAAGAAATGTTTGCAAAACAGCCGTTTGACTTTGAAGTTAACTTACATTTCCGCATCTCTTTTTGAGAAGTTGGGTTTTAGCTAATATTTGCATGATTTTTGTCATCTAGAAATAATTGTGAATTACAGTGAAAAATAAAGTACTCAATATGCTAACAAGAAATAGGTTGAGGACTAATAGTGCAATTTTCCTTAATGTTTGTGGAATTTTGAAGCCCTGCCGTAACAGCCTTATCATATCCATGGGGCTTTTACCATTTGAGGCAGCCCAGCCCATCTAACGAAAGGATATGTCAAGTAAAAATAAAAGAAAAATATTTCAAAAGTAACTTTTGATTTGGAGTCAAAATTAATAACTTACTTTCTAATTTCAAACTTGATCAACAAAATAAATCACTTACTTAAAAATAATTTTTTTAGGCTTAGCGTTGGCATCCAATTATATTGGACTGTCAAGAGATATATAAAATATAAATTATATTTTATATAATTTGACATGTATATGATAAAATTATCTTGTTCAGTCTTTTCGAATATCTTATGTCAACAATGTCATAATAGTATTCAATATACAAATCTCGTATTGAGAAATCGAACCCTAATAGTGGATATTACAATGATGCTCGCACCATGAGTTAGACCAAATGATAAAGATGGGAGGATTAAAAAAAAAAAAAAGCTAAAAAGGGAAAGAAAAAGATAAACCTTAGTTGCTTGGAGAGCAACTCTCATCATTTGCTGTAATGATAGTGCACTGTGCACATTATACTCATTCAGTCAAAATCATTTTATCTTTTTGTTTGGAGCTTGTTACATGTGGATTTTTTGATAATATATTTTGTCAATTTTTATTTTTTTTTAAAGAATGTATGGTTAAAAAGTAGAAAAATTTTATAGATTTGTGTGCAAAATTATTTTATTGAGAAAATGTAAAGTTATTGGGACATTTTCATAAATGTCACAAATTTGAAAATAAATCGAAAGCTGTCACTTTTACAAATCGTGCTAAAAATGCCACTTTTTTGTGTGAAATATTCAAATCACCCTTAGATATATCTTTTCGGAAGCATTTAATGCTTATTAATGCAATGGGGGTGATGTTTTGAGTTGTGTATTAGAATCCATTGGATGTACGTATGATACATCGGGTAACATGAATTGTTAAGCNGCACAATATTGGAGACCATTCAAAAAGAAAAAAAAAAAAAAAAAAAAAAGAAATTTAAAAAAATCATATGAATGTATAAACCGATTTCCATACACACACAAAAAAAAAAAAACCCAACTCTCTTCACATCTCCATTCCAACAACGAGATGAAATTATTAGTGAATTCATCTTCCATTTTAAGAGGTTGGCATTCACAAATTGTTTATGTTTTTATTTTATAATTTATTAATTTTGAATTGTTAAGTACA